GTTAACGAATCATCCTCGATAACAAGTGTCATTTTCAAAATTTCTTATATTTATTTTACTTCTAATAAATTATTTATAAAATTATGTGATAATCTCAATGAGAGTCTTGTCATCGAGGTTCTACTGTATCTAGTTAAAATACGCACTTAGTGTACATAACTAATGATAAGTTATGTAAGAGGAAATATACGCGTGGTGTTGTTAGAAGAAATTTTAAAGATTAAATAAAACGACGACAAATTGTATTAAATGCCATGATGTTTTAAACAAATAAAGTTTAAGATTTATTTTAACTAAATATGGCTACTGCGTGGCTCGAACTATGTGCGGTATAAAAACTATATTTGTTACTACTTTATCCAGGGCCGTATTTAAACTACAACGGATGCTAAACGTATCAAACTTTATCTTATGTTTTAGTTCATATCTCAATGTTGCTGCTTCTATTCCTAGGATTGGTTTCGGACCCGGATTACTTTTATCAATGACCTAACAAAAGTTGTGCGATCTACAGCAACAAAACTAGGGATTCGACCAATTCCATCTTACAATGTAAGTATAAACAAATTACTAAGACACCTAATCAAAAATAGCTCGAGTTATTAACTTCAGATCAGACTATCCTGATTTAATTCTACAAATCCTGGCATGAATGAAATATTGGTAGTGTTAAATACACACGCGAATTGATAAAACCTGAACACGGAAGCTAAGTAGCATCTTGGGCTGATAAGATAGACACAGTTTGAGATCGTTCACGTTATCTTATCATTGCGGTCGGCACTCACTGTATTGACTTGTCCAAGTGAGCTTACAGTACTTAGATCACCGCACAGACCAGTTACAGTCTGTCAAAATTAATAACAAAATTAACAAAAAAATTATAATGAATTGAAATTCACCTAGTGAACGTCTAATTACGTATCCCCCCATGTTGGCCATATTTGAGTGTATGAAAATATCAAACATCACTGTCATACAACAAACGCAGCATGCTTCATCTATGCAACTAATAAGTGATTTTTCGCATATGTTCGCCTACACTAACCTACTAAAACGGATTTTTTGTAGTTTTTCTACGATTTTTCCTCCACAAGTCGCGGTTCGGGGTTTCGGCGCCGCCCGGAGTGGTCAGACAACTTGTCACGGAGCCCACCTAGTAAATAACGGCTCTCAAAATTTGTAATCCCGAACACCGTCATGCTATCCGACTCCATAAATGGTAGATGGTAGGTTCGCTTAAAACAACGGTTTAGTGAAAATGCAAAATCCTGCCTCCATCCTTCTGCTGATCAGTGTGAACATACAGCAATTTGTAAATTTTTACCTCTTATTTTCCCCCCAATCTCTTAAACTCAAAATTTGTTTGGTGGTAGCTAGAGGACTTGCTATTCCTAATTACGTCTCCCAAATAAAGATATTACGCCTATTTATTTAATTTCAATCCCCTAAGGCTTTCATGTCACCAGACAAACTTGGATTTTAGGCTTTCACATGTTTCAGATCAAAGTTTTATTCATGCAAAAATTGCGTTTGTTGATTCAAAATTGTGTCACAAAATCTAAAATTTCGCTAATTTATGCTTACCACTTTAGTAGTGTGTCCCTTAGCAAATATTGAGCACTTTTCCCGTTTATTTATTGTATTGAAACAGGACACAATCGTGTGCATTTTAAAATTATAAGTGAAAGAATGTGTGTGAAAATAGACTTATTACATTAACTGTTTTAGCCAGAACCGTCTATTAAACGCTTGGCAATAATCATGGTCTGATAAGTCCAATTTGAACTATTAAATAGCCACTTATTTGTCTCAGTATTAAACCGGTAGTTAGCAAGCAATCCACTTAGAGTTGCGCTACACAGTTATTAAGCGAGCAAATATTCAACTGTAAATAAAACTACTTAATCAAAATAGCTATTTAACTTCCCAATAGACTTTTATAAATGCCATAGTAGACGTATATTCCTGCTATATTATACTAATTCTCTGTTCGTTTAATTTACTCGGTTAATAAACAAAACCAATAACACTCAGAATCTTGATAAGCAACCCAGTAACAAAATTCCAGCCAATGAAAATGCGGAATAGTATACGATTGTAGTAAAATTCCAGCGCACAATAGAACGAGCGGTTTTATGGCCCATCTGATGATAAAAACGGTTGTTCGCCAGAACAGAGCCAATTATGTTAGTAGCGTCATAATAAATAAATTGGCTTCAATTGTAACCTCATAAAAACGTTATCTATGTGATTGGGTTAATCCCCTTCTTTTAAAAGCAAAACTTGTGTTACGCATTTGCATTACATTATGTTGCTTTTCCTACTGTCAAAAGAAGTTTTTTTGTTCTTTTAAGCGATAAGCATTTTAATAGTCGAGGAACAATTTTACACCCTCAACCCTTAAGTTTTCTCTCTTTGTATTACTTTGTGCCTTTAAAAATATGTTTCTGCAAGCAGCACCTAATTACCCTAGCTACTTTTAAGTAAGTTATTTTAGGCCGGGGAAGAAGTCTACGCAAAAAAACAGAAGTTAAAGCAAACTATATTTTTTATGTGTTTTGTACCATTAAAAGAAATGTCAGTACTGTATTCTTTTAACTCTTGAGCAATGAAACATTCTGGGAACAATCGTACGCATGTTTCAAGTGTAAACAAAAATAACTATCCTGTATTTTGTCGTGGTTTTGAATCATATGTTTTATCAGCTGGTCAAATCACCTGATAAAACTCTCTTCATTTAAGATCGCGTTCTATTAAATTACCCATTACCCCAACAATACATTACAATGATTCGCGATGTAGGGAGGCTGAAGACCGGCATGCGGGTACTTTAAACCGTGACGTCATCCACGATAATTGACTTGACCGGTTCAAGATAACAACTGACATGGACTCTTGCTACAGTGGATTTGTTTTGACATAGTGTTTTGACTTAATCTACAATTTAGTGAGAAACATCCAATTAACCTGTTTTATTTTGTATAAATTTTCTCGTATACCTGTTACACGAAATCTTTATAACTGTTGATTTTATGTTAGAGTACAATGTTTATTTTATCTTAAAATTTGTTCTTGAATGCGAGGCATTTTATGAGTACGGTACATTTGTGGATAATTACATTGATGCATAATGTAAATTTCTGTGGAAATAACAGATTTTTAAGTTCAAAAAACTAAGGGCAAGATGACTATTGTATTTGTGTCCAAATTGTTTTCCTTCTGAAGTAGATACAGTGCACGTTTGATTACCAATAAATATAATAAATAAAATAATTATTACACATATTTAGAAATACTGTACCTAATAAAAATGTTTATCTGTTTTAAAAATAAGAAAGAAGAGTTTTCCATTTGGTAAGGGGTGCATTTAAATTTAATTATTTACAATTTAGCAACTGCCTGCGGAATCTTTGCAACGTGTTCTATTACGGTATTTAATATTTTTATATCCCATTTTAGGAAACCGTACGTTGTTATTTCGATAAAACAAATCTTGTTGATTATTTACCTAAATTGTGATTTGATCGATTTCTTAGTGATTTTCCATCTCATATTGTTTGTCTCCTGATAGTTTTCACAGGTTAAGCTGAGGTTTTTGTTTGAAATTCTCAACAGCAACGGCGCCATCCATTTCAAAAATAGATCGTCTGCATCTTGGCTGTCGTCTCAGACGAGCTTTTCTGTTTGGCTAAACTTCATGTATTTCAACGTTTTTACGTTACGTTTATACGGTTATAAACCTCTATAGTGCACAAAAAACCTAGTAGGGATATTCGTGTATTGAGATTTTAAATGAAACGTAAAGCAGCGGCTACACTTACCCGATTCGGTCCGGTTCGGTCCGGTCCTCCAAAATGCGGAACAATGCTTCCCATGTTTTTAAATGGAGGTGGCTACACTTACCCGATTCGGTCCGGTACGGTCCGGTTCGGCGCGGAACAATCGTCCAGGGAGCATTCATCCGCATTTGGCGGAAGCATTCGGGGCGGACCGGACCGAATCGGGTAAGTGTAGCCACCTACTCCCGAAATTCGGATGAGGATCGGGTGGTTCCGTAAGCACTCGGCTACGAAAGTGATGAATTAAATTAGGAAAAATAGTTATTTGTAGGACATAGGCCTAAGAATTTAGGCAATCATGTTCATATATTGCTCGATCATGGAAGACGATAATTATGTCTACACGATCGCGGAAAATAGTGTGAATTTTGCCGCAATATTGGGAGACGATTACAATGTCTACACGGCCGCGAGGGATTATAGGAAGTTTACCGCAATTGCAAGCAAATACAACCAAATTTTTTTTAATTTTTCATTTTCTTTGCCCCCCCCCCCAAAAAAAGCCAATTGCCTCGCGCCCTAGGCACGTGCCTACCGTGCCTATTTGGTTAATCGGTCCTGACTAAACTCTTTCTGTATTGCAGTACTTGTGCCCATCGATATATAACTACCTTGTGCCCCGTGCTCGTGTGTGTCCTACAAAATATCGCACAAGTGTAGCTACCTCTTCCGGCCGGACCGAAACGATTCGTACAAGTGTAGCCACCCCTCACAAATTCGGGCCGGACCGAAACGAACCGGACCGGACCGAATCGGGCAAGTGTAGCCGCTGCTTAAGTTATTACAAAACAACTGTTAAAATGATCATTTATCAAAAATGTTAAACCCGACGTGATGATAAAAGTTATAAATAAACAGTTGGTCTTGTTCAATGACAGAACGTAAAATTATTATCACAATAATGTTCCAATTTTGTTTATAGGTTAAATACGCCTAACATGAATCGCAAAACTATGTTATCACTAGATGATTATGGTGATAATTAAGTAACTTTGGTCCACCATTTATAAAAATTAAACCACATAAAAACTTATTTTCTGTGGTACTCGGTCTGCCATCAAAATTCGAAAACATTCGACGCGTACCTTACATGAACATTCCAGTTGTTATCTAACAGTGCCTACGCCTACCAACTGAACAACTAGAGTTTACAATTACCTTCGTCAATGAGTCTCTCGACGTGCATGAAGACATTTGGGAACGCAGTTACTTGTTTGCGATCCTTCAACAGCTGAGCGAGATAGTCCGCAATGCTCTGTGTGTTGATGGCCGTGGTATCACTCATATTGTCTGTAAGTACGTACGCGCAACAGCTGATAGAACGCACGACTGCCGGGCACACAACAGACTGAGTGAAAATGGCCGCGCCTCGGTCGTCTGTCCGCGCGCATGCGCACAACACTCTGCTCTGCACACCTTTTACGGAGACCTCCGACAACACGCCCCCTCTAGAATCTCGCGTTCTTATTCTTCCTACCGCGCTGTGTTGTTAAACTTATCAAATACAACTTGAATGAGAGAACATTTGGAGTTTATGATGGCAATCGAGTCAGAATGTGAACTGTGCCATATCTTATAATTAGTTCATTCAGTATCCCTGATAACAATTATTTACATAAGTATTTTTCTGGATCTATTTACGTAGACGTTTTGTTTACGACTTATTTCTTGCTGTTTAACCAAAACCAACTGGTATTCGTAAACAATTAATTGTTTGTCCTCTGATATTTCAATCAGAAAACAAATTATATCTCTCTAGGGGTAACAGCAGCACACACAACTTCACATAAATAAAACACAGATGATTAAATCTGGCCACAATAGCATCAGATTTATATTTGCTTTATTTAAAGTCATAGAGCTGACTAGGTATGCACCTAAATTCTCTAAGCATAGTTGGTAAATAATACACAAATAATCCAATTATGATAACAATCGAGTTTCGAGTTGAATGTACACTGGGCTGACACGTGGGCTACTACAGTGTAGTCTGTAGATTTGGCGGGTGAATGCAGCGCATCTCGCGCCACTATCAGGTGACACGCCAGCTGTTCTCACTTTGTTATCTTGATCAGCTGATTCGCCGTGTTTACTTCTGATGACCGAAACTCCGGTTTGGCCAACAGATTTAATTTGATTCATTGAGCTTTTAGCTTTGCGTAGCTATAATACAGTAATATAGTATAATATACAGTGAATATGATACAGTAATATATAGTTTGTTGGTTATGAGGTGAAGAAGTAAAATTTCTAAAAATGATGTATACGAACCACATATTTGTTAAATTTGTTAAGGGCGAGCTGGTCGAGTAAAAAAAGTGTGCAGTATTGTCATTGACAAATTTAAAAAATAATTTAAAAAAATTAAGTATAATGCGGAATCTATCTAGGGAACAAAATCTATTTGAGAACAAAATTAATTTTAAGCATGACAGAAATTTAATAAAACTAAAACACCCTCACGGCAGCAAACCTACAGAATAAGACAATTTCCATACCTGTTAGATAACCTGGTTGGCTTTTCACTAAAGTATTCCCTTTAAATCGTCAGACTTTATCATTAACTTTAACGAGTACTTACTAAGGTTTGGTGCTGCAGGGAAATAAATTGCGTTTTTATTGAAATTTTAATACAGTAGCTTAGTATAAAATCAATGGATTTGTCAAATAATCAAAATATAAACAGTCAAACTACAACAGTTTATTCTCCAAATAACATGGTAATTTGAAATTTACAGTTTTTTTATTCTCTTCGTAACCAACAACGCTTCGATATACAGTACTTTGAATAATATCTTTAAATCTTTAAACCCTTTTCCACCACCGAGTAATACTATATTGTAAATACTGTATAGTGAAAGAAATATATCTCAGTGTTCTGTTATTAGAGCGAGACGAACCCCGTTTATCACTGCACCAACTAACTTGGAAAATCTTATACAAAAACCTAATTCCAAGTGATTACATTCGCTAATCACGATGTGACGGTAACCTTTAGCTTTAGTCTCGGCGTCTGTGTGGCAACCATCCCCATATGGTACGATTAACCACGTTACCTAGTATCCTAGAAACGGTGATTTTATCAAACCATATGTTTAGTCGCCTGATCGTCGCGTCGCTTATTTGGGTAATTTGTCTTCGTCAATCGCTTCACGAACATCTCTGTCGCGCTCGGCTCTCAGTCTAAATCTGTTACATTTTAGAGAAAAACTCTCTAGTTAGGTTTTGTAATCCACTAAACTCTCCTTTACGGGCAATCCCCTCCGGCCGAGTTGGAAAGGTGAGAAATACTTTTCCATTGCGTTAAGACTTGCCATTTAGAGTATCGATAGTCTATGCAGATCGCGATTCCAAATCGGTAAAAATCAAGATCGTTGTTGGAGGTTTATACTTAGGCTATAAAGCTGGATGGAGTAATACTGTGGTAATACGCAAATGTTTATTATACATTTACAATATATATCTGAAAAAAAATCTCCTTTATTGCCTTATGACCGGAGTGACGGTTCGAAGTATATAGCATGAATGAATGAATGAATGAATTTATTCCACCACATATATAAAATTACACAACCAAATTAACAAAAAAGAAACAAGGTTTTATGCAAAACCAAACTAATTAACTATAACTAATTAACTGCATAGATCGTTGTTGGAGGTTTATACTTAGGCTATAAAGCTGGATGGAGTAATACTGTGGTAATACGCAAATGTTTATTATACATTTACAATATATATCTGAAAAAAAATCTCCTTTATTGCCTTATGACCGGAGTGACGGTTCGAAGTATATAGCATGAATGAATGAATGAATGAATTTATTCCACCACATATATAAAATTACACAACCAAATTAACAAAAAAGAAACAAGGTTTTATGCAAAACCAAACTAATTAACTATAATTAATTAACTGCATATATGTGTCAAAGGTTGTTCCTATCTATTTAGTCCTGGAATTAGCAGATACTAGTGTACCTGTTGCTCGAATTCGAGCAATTGCGAAGCATTACAGGCGACTCAAAGATTATGGAAATACTCACGATCTACACAACAGTTAGATATAATCAAAATCTTTTGTAAATATCTTATCTTTTTTCAAAAAGCTTATCTTGTTTTTTTAGTGTTTTCTACAAATTTTTCTCTCTTATAGCCGCATTAGGTTGTCTATGACAACGATTATAAATGAAAAAAAAATTATTTCTATTCTTCTACTTGGTTGTGTTCTATGACTTTTTCTATGTTTCCATTGTTTGCAAATCGGTTATTTCAATGATTACTCAAGAAATGTAGAACAGTGTTAATTCAGTTTTATTTTTAGCCTGTATCAAATTGTCCAGGATTTCTCGCTCTTTTCCATTGTAATAATTATACCAACCCAATTTTCATCTACAGATGCAATATGCCAACAAATATCACCTACGTACAATCTCCAAGAAGTGGTAAAAAAGGCAGAACATTGTATTGCAAAACGTGACATGATGCAGAAGAAAATCCAATTTAAAATCAGAAAAACCTATTGCAAATACTGTACTTCATTTTGACAAATTCAATAAATCACAATTTAAATATTAATAGCTGTTTCATTAAAAAGGAGTGTTTATAGTTATGCATATGGTCGTAATGTAAACAAATCTGAAGAGGCAACTTTAAAAGCTTCTGGGACAGAGCCCCAAGGGAATTTACCTCGTTCCTCTTTTGATGGCTCATCTACAGACCAAGACCTTTCTTTAGAGACCCCTACCAAGTTTCTACGCCCAGCCGTTCTCTCAAATTAGCTATGACAAAAACCCCATTTTCCTCCATAAGAATAACATGGGACGGGAATTTAAAGGCCACTGGGTCAGAGCCCCAAGCGAAATCACCATGTTTCTCTTTTGATGGCTCATCTACAGACCAAGACCTTTCTTTAGACACCTCTACCGAGTTTCTACACCCAGCCGTTCTCTCAAAATAGCTATGACAAAGAAAAACAGTTTCAAATTAATATATAGATAGGCTGTACCTGTGCGTCTGCTAAGTTGCTATAAAGATTGAATGAAATTAACATCACCATCAAGTTGTGTTGAAAGACGTGTTTTGTTGTATGATAGCGCGTATACGAATGATAGTGAAGCCTCTTGAGAAGATGTATGCATCAATTTTGTTTCTCAGTCGTATCCTAGAGTGGTTTAGAATGCCCATTTGGTCCGGGGTAAAGCAAGTACAAGTCGGCGTGGGGGGCAATCCGAGTATTCGAGCCTACACAGCATATAGGGAACCATCTCTCCCTAATTGTACGAAATCACACTTTATTGAAAGCGTCTAAATTTTTTTAGTTTGTTGATTATTTTGCTGCGTAGACTTCTGAGTCTTCTCATGACTGGCGACCTTCGATCTCCCGATTTTTACGATAGCACCATAACTGAGTGTAAATGCACAACCGTTTTCCCCCAAAATAAACTATGCTAAATATTTCCCCCAAGAAAAGCTCGGCTCCCAAGTACCCTATTGAAAATTTACCGCTTACGGGCAAAAAATAGAAAATTGTTATAAATAAATATTTACCCTGTACAACGGTGGATGCTGCATCTGCGCATCACATCTGCCATGGCTGTGGTGTGGTTTGGTCATTACCAGTCACACAGGGCCCCTTGTGTGGCGATATTGCTGTCATCTGGACACTCAATACCACTAACTAACACTACACATTCGCTGTCTTGCAACACAGTCGCGAATGAAAAGTACAGTACACTCAAGAAACACTAACTATTCATCCATTTATCTCGAAACCTATGTTGATTTTCTAATCGTGTGAAAAATATTAATATATGTTTGAGATAAGATGAAATGAGATTAGATCAAATTCTTTGAAATGAGATAAAATTAGATGAAATGGGATGAAATGGGATGAAATGGGATGAAATGAGATGAAATGAGATGAAATGAGATGAAATGAGATGAAATGAGATGAAATGAGATGAAATGAGCTGAAATGAGATGGAATGAGATGACATGAGATGAAATGAGATGAAATGAGCTGAAATGAGATGAAATGAGCTGAAATGAGATGAAATGAGATGACATGAGATGACATGAGATGAAATGAGCTGAAATGAGATGAAATGAGCTGAAATGAGATGAAATGAGATTAAATTAGATGAAATTAAATAAAAATGAGATGAAATGAGATGAAATTAAATTTAAATGAGATGAAATAAAAAACAATTAATAAGAGTTAGGAGGAATTTTTCATCCATTATCTTTCGCCGTTGACTCTCTAGTGCACATTAAAGAGTCTTTTTTGAGTTTTGTGATCCAATGTACAATATGTTTTAATTTTTTCATCTGCAACGAGTCAACCCTATTTTGCGACATCCCAGCCCTTCATTAACACACACCTGTATCTCT